TGTGGTGCTGGGGGATTGAACTGCGGTCCCTGTGCTTTGCTAAGCTTGTTCTAAGTAGGTGCTTTAGACCACTGAGTCATCTCACCAGCCCCCAGTCTGTGTCTTTTTAAATACCTCTTTAAAATTTAGAAAGTTGGGCCAGGGAGATAGCTCAGTGGCATAAGCGCCTGCCTGGCAAGCATAAGGCCCTGAGTTCGATCCCTGGTTCAGCAAAGTCTATATAACAGTCACAAAGTCTCTGGGGTCCCTGTAATAAAAGGCAACTCTACTTTCTCTGACTCCACAGCACTTTGTGGCACCCGTTGGTGACACAGTCTTACCCAGATAGCAAGGTGTGACTTTACTGATTTAAGCAAACAGGAAGTAGGTAGTTCTTGGCATTTCCAGAGAACTGGAGCCAGGTTACAGGTGTGCTTCCAGGTACACCACCTAGAATCATGCCAAAATTCACAATGCATGAGCCTGCTACAAATGCCCTGCTATTGTTGTTGGGCATCTCATAGATCCAGCTCCGTGGATAGTTCATGATGATGCGGTCTGTATGGCTCTGAAGATGGACAGCGCCATACCCCTGACACCATGCCATATTCTGCACAGACCCTGTCTTCTTATGCCACTGGGTTTTAGAGTGAACCACCATACATAGGTGTATCTGATTAGTACAACAGAGGTCATGTACCTGTATCCTAGCTACAAAGGACTTGGGGGGCCAGCCAAATAGCTCAGCAGATTAAAGCACCTGCAAGCAGATGCAGGGGCTGGAGGTTCAATCCCTGGGCCTGCCATGCCGGCCCTGACCCTGGGGCATGCTGAAATGGTAAATGAGATTGGGCATGGTGGCGCACACCTATAATTCCAGCTCTTGGGAGACTGTAAACAGGCGGATCACTACAAGTCAGATCTAGTAGTAAGACCCTGAACACCCTTGTAGACCCTTCCCTAAAATACAGGGAAAAAAAAAAAGGACTTTGGAAAGATGAGTGACTGGCTTTTTAAAAAGCTTTTATAACATAAAATGGTCTTAGTTCTTTTTTTTTTTTTTTAGGGAGGGTCTCTCTATGTAATGCAGGCTGGCCTTAAACTCATGGCAATCCTTCTGCCTTAGCCTCCCCAGCACTGGGATTACAGGTGTCTGCCATCATACTGGGTATTGGTGGCTGGCACCGGGTGCCCAGGGTGCCAGAGCTGGCATGGTATGAGGTACCGGGGATTGAACCCGGGTCCTTCTGCTTGACAGGCAGGAGCTTAGACCACCAGGCTATCTCCGCAGCCCCTATTAATGGGAATTTGAAGTCCATTCTGCTATGGTTCCAGAGCCCCCTATACCTTGACATCTCAGCATTCCACGTTTAACTGCAGGCTGTGAACATAGGTTCCCTCTGTCATATTTAAGCAAGTGAGCAAGCAAGGTTCTACCTCAGAGGTCAGCTGGGGGCAGCCCAGCACGACTCTCAGCCTCCAGAAACAACACAGTGTGTGCCCAGACACAAGGTATCCCATGGGACCTAGTTGTCAGGGTTTAGAAGAGGTATTCATTCGTTAGCTTTGAATGTAGTTGAAATCAACGCCACGCGTGCTGGATTTAAACTTCTTTTATTTTTAAACATGTGTTTAATCTCTTTCATTGGTTTGTTGGCCAAATGAAGGCGCATCTGCTCAGTTAGGAAAGGCACCTAGTTGGAGACAATATGCATAGCTGCGTTATACCATCCCTGCCTGGGATCCTGGCTGGCAGCTCCTGGCATGCAGGGACCTGTCTGCACGCGTTTAGTGGCACCTCAGCTGTCACACAAGAGCCCTTCCAGGGGGTTTATTGAGTTGTCTTGTTTAGTTAAAAATGAGACACAAATACCCTTTTTATTTGCTTCCAGGAGAGTCCACTATGGGCAGAGAACTCTGGAACATTCCAGACAATTTTAGAAAAAAAGGATAACAGCAGAAAATGTTTAGGAGAATGTGTATGTTGGGTGGGGGAGGGTTGATCCTCCAAGGAAATAAATGGACCCTGGTTTCCACCCATTTCCTCTTGGGCCTAGGCAGTAGGTGAAGCAGGAATCAAGTTCGGAGGGCCGAGAAATGGCTCCTTTGGCCCTGATTACGGAAGCCCAGAGGATGTCCCCAAAGTGGCTGCACCCCCACTTTGAGTCTGGAAGCCCGATCTCTGAGCTTCACACACCCCTGGACAGGGCTGGGCTTTTGTTCAGCTCACCTTGGAATCTGTGCTTTCTAAGCCCAGGACGGCAGGAAGGAGTGAGGTAACAGAAAGATGGGCTCCAGATTCAGAGAAACCTGGTTGCATCCTGGCCTTGTAGCTTACCAGCTGTGTGTGTGTGTGTGTGTGTGTGTGTGTGTGTGTGTGTGTGTGTAACTCTGGGTGGGTACTTATTCTTTTTGATTTGAAAATTCTCATCGGTGAGGGGGAAATAATACCTCCCAGGGCTATAGAGAAAACTAAATCCTCTGAGATAACTACAGTGTGAAAATACCTTTCAGAGTGCCTGGTGCTTGGAGGAAATTTAAGTGTAGAAGAAAGAGAAGATGGAAGAGGAGACGAAGGGAGAACTGACTAGCATTTCTCCAGAACCATTCTGAAGAGTTTTGTTCCCTTTTTTTTTTTCCAGTCAGTACTGGGGATTGAACCCAGGGTCCTCCCACGCACTGTATTCAAGCAGCTTGCGCAGCCCTTGACTGGTAGCTGCCCAGGGAGGCGAGGGTTGCCATTTCCACTAACATGGAAAGCTGAGTCACCTTCCCAAGGCCATATACCAGAAAGCACAGCTTGAAGGCAAGTCTCCTTGATTCCAAAATGTTTCCCCTTATCTGGAGATTGTTTTCCAGCCCAGCTCTGTCCAGAGAAATGGTCTGGTATGTGCTGCCTCAGGTGTATCTCCAGCCTCGTCCAGGTGACCCAGTCTCTGAATATGGGTCCTGGGAGGTAAAGGGTTAACAAGACTGTCAAAGCTTCTTGGGGAGCCAGGAAATGAGACCCTCCCGGAAGGAGAGGAGGAGGGAGCCCTAAGCAGCTACCAGGATTGGTCAAGGCCTATGACAATGCGACAATCTCTGGTCCTAGAGGCCACCCTGCCCCAAGGTCACCCTGGGCCTTCTACTGATTATTAATGAAGCAGAAACCTCTTGGGAGGGAAAAAGATCCATTTTTCTTGTAACTTTTCTTTTAAGGAAGAGAAATGCGTTGATCAATCATTGGTTATCTAGTAGCAGAAGAGGTTATAAATTAACAAATTGGCTTTGGGGTTAGTCCAAGTAGTTCCCCTGTCCATGAAGATGGGGTTGAGTATTTTACTCTGCAAAGCTGTGGATTTAGCTCTTAATCTGAGATGAGCCCAGTGGCAGACCCTGGGCAACACTCACAGCAACATTCTCTGAGGTCGACATACTCTTGACCAAATGAATCAGTACGTCTGTCTGTCTGTCTGTCTGTCTGTCTGTCTGTCTGTCTGTCTGTCTGTCTGTCAGCTTGTCTGTCTAGCCACAGCATTTTGAACTCACTTGAGTGGATTCCCAGCAGAGCTCTAGCTCATCTGATGACAAAATAACATTCCACGGCGTTTTGACAGGGTGACAGGTGATCTGGACACACTCAGGGTGAGCTGGGTTAGGGCAAGGTTAAGGAAGTGGCAGGGATTGTCTGAAAGATGCTCTGCTGACCGGAAGGAACTCATAAGGAAGCTGCCGTAGATGTGTGCTTCCGGGTCTGCACCCCGAGCAAGCTCTTCAGACTGTGGCAGAGACGGTGGCGGGACTGGGGTCACCGAGTCTCTGAGTGAAGGTCAACAGGGCTGACGGTCACCGACAACGCAGGCTGTTGGCTGCTGTTAGTGCTGGGGTCCGTGGCAGACGGAGCAACCGGCTTGGGGGCCTTGGGCTCGAGCTCCCGCCGTGTCCTCATTTTCCTGTAAGGACACACATACACATGGGGCTGACTCTTCTCCCTCACACACCCTGGGGGCTGGGCTCTGGGTCAAGCAGATGAACGCAGATCCCTGGGAAGTCACGGAGGCCAGCCGCAGGATTTTACCACCGGCAGGGAACTTGGCTGCCAATTAGCCCGGCCCTGCATTTTTTGTTTAGCTTAGATTAGATAGTTACTTTTATTTGTTCCTATTAATGAATAAATACAGCATCAGAGAGGTGGCTATACTCAAGACAAATGAAAATATTACTGGACATATTTTCTGTTCAAAGCCAGAACCATTATACTTGCTAGATTATTTTATTTTAATTTTAATTTTTTTTTTTTGGGGGGGGTCTACAGGGTGTTCAGGGTCTTACTACTAGATTGGATTCTGCAATGATCCGCCTGTTTTACAGCCTCCCAAGAGCTGGGAATAGGGGCCGGGAGATGGCTCAGTGGAATAAGTGCTTCCCTGGTAAGCACAAGGGCCTGAGTTTGAACCCCAGTTCCGCCAATAAGTAAATAAAACCAAAGTCCAAGAGCTGGGATTATAGGCATGTGCCACCACACCCAGTCTCAGTGTGCTCTGGGGGCAGAAGGGGGGGTTTGCTGGATTTTTTTTTTTTTTTTTTTTTTTTTTTGTGGTACCGGGGATTGAACTCAGGACCTTGCACTTGTCAGGAAAGCACTTATTCCACTGAGCTATCTCCCTGGCCCTGGATGTTTAAAAAAATTTTTTTTTTAATCTTGTATTTATTTAATTGGTACAGGGTCTCACTATGCAGTTCGGACAGACTCAGTAATCCTCCTGTCTCAGCTTCCCCAGAGCTGGGATTACAGGCATGTGCTCCCATGCCTGGTTTGGGGGCTGGCTCAGTGTGTCCAGGGGCAGGGCCAGTGCTGCAAGTGGTGCTGGGGATGGAACCCAGGTCCTTGCGCTTGCCAGGCAGGCACTTAGATCACTGAGCTATCTTCCCAGCCCTATACTTACTAGGTTTATTGCTGGAGATACTTGAGAGCTTTTTACATAGATGAGAAAAAAAATGTACTTAAAATATGTATGCCCGGAGCTGGGGAGATGGCTCAGTAGAACAGGTGCTTGCTTAGCAAGCCAAGGACCTCAGTTCAATCCCCAGTGCCTCAAAAAAAAAAAAAAAAAAAAAGTATGCTGTCTTCATTTTATAGGCCATATAATTCAGTAACTAACAACAATCACGAATTCTAATGTCTACATGATATTTCACCTTATTGCCATATCATAATTCTTTTTTAAAAACTTCATAAAGTTGCACAACTGGTACAGCTAATACTCCCAAATCCTTCACTAAACAATTCACCAAATTGTTAAGTTCTCTTGTTCTCCCTCCGTCTTCATGCAGTGTGTAGAAACACAGAGTTTTTTTGGATTATTTTTATTTTTCATTTTATTTAGTTTTCCCACTGGAGATTGGGCATAGGAAGTGTTATAACATACATCCCCTTTTTGGTCTTTTTTTTTTTTTTTTTTTTT